TTTTGCACCTGGATCTCGTGAAGTTGGGCTGCGATCGGCCACAGAAACTGGTCCAATGACGTTGGCTCGACGGCTAGATCCAGGTTGTCTTGGAACTCAGTTCTGCTCGAGTCTGACGCATTTAGAAGAAATGCCACCTCCCTTGACTTGGAGCACAGAGAAAAGCAAAGCACCTGCCGGCACCTGCCGATGGGCGACCTGGTCATAACCGGTGCGACTGGACGAATCGTCGAGCCTTTTGGGAACCCCTGCTACACTCCCTGGAACCCTCATGGAAATGGATGGCATGGACCACTTTCTTGTACAAAACAGGTGGTGCCATCCACGGTGTATGGAAAAAAGCGAGTCTCAAAGCACCTGGAGTCTCAAAATGGGTACTACAGTCATAGACCTATTGTAGGCCGGCGGTTGTCGGGTCATGTTCCCCTTTTCTCTACTTTCAGGGTCTGGTCGGGTCTGGTCAAGCTTTAAGGGTTGTCGGGAAGGCTGCTGAAGGACCAGTAGGAGTCTGTTTCTGATGACCGGACTCAGAAAAGTAGACCTTCCAAGGGGTGTCCAATGGAGACCTATCAGTATAGACCCCTTGGGGTAGCTGGGTAGCCCATGAAGCCGAAGTGAAGCAGCTGGGAGAGGTCTTCGTTCCAACTTTTGGTTGATTTGCATTAGAACATCAAACATCGATCACAAGATCCAACTATTAATTGGCCAGGAGTTCCAAATCTCTAGAACATAAGGTGGCGCGATGACCATATGGATACTTGGGAAATTCGGTCTATCCACATTACCTGTAACAGTCAGATACAGTCCAGGAGCCACAAGTATCACCATGTTAGAGATGTCGGCCTGCAACCTAACGATCATAATCCATGGTTACGCATACACTATATAACTTCTAACTCTTTAGGTCACCTCACGTCACATCGCATGTTCGACCATATTGGAAAGAACAAGATCTGGGGACGGTGATCTGTGAACCCAAGACCAACTGCGCCAGGGGGCCACCGAGACACCAAAAGCTTTATTAGGGTCTAATGAGAGTGAAGCTCGGGCATAACACATCTGTGGAGGCAAAACATATGGTTTGATTTGTGGATTTGATGGTAATGCAGACATTATTTGGAAGGTGCCTGGGTTCAAGCGGGTTTTTTCCTATCCTTTTCTTTCTGGACCCTCCATGCGTGCAACTCGGATGGGCCCTTCATGTTCTCTTCCCACTTCCAACGTTTCGCCACACCGATCTTCCACTCAACCACACCTTGAGGTCAGCAGGTATACCTGAATCATATATGAGCAAACAACAATAAATAATACCCCAGACCTTGGGAAATTATTCCAGGGGGTACCGTCAGTTGGTGGAATAATTTTTCTGGAATAATTTTCCTGCCTGGGTATGGGGGTGGTACCTGATGGTGTGTCAGAATAATTACCACATGAGGGCCGTCCGTTATTGCCAGTGAAGGAATTTCGATCAACTGTTAAAACAAACATGTCGCGAAAGGGAAACTGCAGTCCGCGAAAGGCCGGCGATAGGACAGCGAAAGACATGTGCCAACCTAGACTTACATACAATGTGCATAATACATGACACATCCTTTTTCCCGAACAGAAACATGGATTTTCGCGAAAGGGCTGCGAAAGGCCGGCGGCATCACAGTTCCTGAGCTTTGCTGCTTCCCAGTCTCCACCAGACCTGAAACATTGACCTTATTTACTTTCCCTTCAGTGTCCCTGCCACCTTCC